CCGGCGACAGCCATGACGTCACTACCGGTGCGACTATAGTATAAATAGGCGCCGGGAGCTACACATCATTCACTTCTTCGTCTGAAGCTTGCGTCCGCAGCATGGCAAGAAACCTAGAGGACGCAGTGTCTCATTCCCTACTCAGGGAACCATGGTTACATAAGTAACCTGAGACATTCTAGCACTTTCTAAACAACTCCAACCTTAAAGGATGGGAGGGCGAGTTTCGTGTTTTCAGGAAATGAGTTACATGAGATGTTAGCCATGAACAAATCATAAGATTACTCTTTTATGATATCGAAGTGTGTTTAAGGTGTTAAATGTCCTGTTCATTGTTGCTAGTGGGCTGCAAGATGATGGCATAGTGAAACTGGGATCTTGTTTGCTAAAGAAACACATGGCACAGCTGACGTATCTGTGGCTAATGTGAGCTACCGCCTCAGAACAAAATATGACACATGCAAGGCGACAAACAACCACCAGTCAATAGGTTTCAGATTACCATTATATCAGAGTTCAAAAACAAATAATGTAATAGTGTACTACTTTTTCTATACTGATATATATTTCTGTGATTAAACTTTTTGGAGGGAAAGTTAAAGTGGGTGTGGCCATATTATGCTAATCTTGTCACAACAATGTGGTTTGATGTGACATTAAATAGGCAATATGAGGAATAAACAGGACACTGAATCTAGTTACCTGAACTTCAGTTTGACTGGATTTAAATAGTCACAATGAAATGTATTTGATTTGAATAGTTTTTTTATACATGATATTTACCCTGCACAGTGCCTCCAGGGCCTCCATGGCAGTCTCCCCTGGCTGTATGATAGCCAACACAGGCCGATCATCAGGTAAAGAGACCCAAGACGGCGTGAGATAGTCAGGTACCCACACTTCATTGTCCGTCTTGTGTTGGGCGAGACTTTTCACCAAACCCTCTTGGTCCTTCTGTTAAAAGGAATAAAGAAACAAACTATTTAGGAAGGTGCTTAATGTCAGCATGACATGCATCGGAATGCATTTAACTTACTATACATAATGGGATGTATTTCTGAGCAATAAAATTGTGATGTACTGATATACAAATCTTTAGTTTTATATAAATATAAAAGCCAGTATTAGATATCAGTATGTATCTAATATACAGTGGGTACGGAAAGTATTCAGACCCCCTTAAATGTTTCCCTCATTGTTATATTGCAGCCATTTGCTAAAATCATTTAAGTTCATTTTTTTTCCTCATTAATGTACACACAGCACCCCCTATTGACAGAAAAACACAGAATTGTTGACATTTTTGCAGATTTATTAAAAAAGAAAAACTGAAATATCACATGGTCCTAAGTATTCAGACCCTTTGCTGTGACACTCATATATTTAACTCAGGTGCTGTCCATTTCTTCTGATCATCCTTGAGATGGTTCTACACCTTCATTTGAGTCCAGCTGTGTTTGATTATACTGATTGGACTTGATTAGGAAAGCCACACACCTGTCTATTTAAGACCTTACAGCTCACAGTGCATGTCAGAGCAAATGAGAATCATGAGGTCAAAGGAACTGCCTGAAGAGCTCAGAGACAGAATTGTGGCAAGGCACAGATCTGGCCAAGGTTACAAAAACATTTCTGCTGCACTTAAGGTTCCTAAGAGCACAGTGGCCTCCATAATCCTTAAATGGAAGACGTTTGGGATGACCAGAACCCTTCCTAGAGCTGGCCGTCCGGCCAAACTGAGCTATCGGGGGAGAAGAGCCTTGGTGAGAGAGGTAAAGAAGAACCCAAAGATCACTGTGGCTGAGCTCCAGAGATGCAGTCGGGAGATAGGAGACAGTTGTAGAAAGTCAACCATCACTGCACCCCTCCACCAGTCGCGGCTTTATGGCAGAGTGGCCCGACGGAAGCCTCTCCTCAGTGCAAGACACATGAAAGCCCACATGGAAGGACTCCAAGATGGTGAGAAATAAGATTCTCTGGTCTGATGAGACCCAGATAGAACTTTTTGGCCTTAATTCTAAGCGGTATGTGTGGAGAAAACCAGGCACTGCTCATCACCTGTCCAATACAGTCCCAACAGTGAAGCATGGTGGTGGCAGCATCATGCTGTGGGGGTGTTTTTCAGCTGCAGGGACAGGACGACTGGTTGCAATCGAGGGAAAGATGAATGTGGCCAAGTACAGGGATATCCTGGACGAAAACTTTCTCCAGAGTGCTCAGGACCTCAGACTGGGCCGAAGGTTTATCTTCCAACAAGACAATGACCCTAAGCACACAGCTAAAATAATGAAGGAGTGGCTTCACAACAACTCTGTGACTGTTCTTGAATGGGCCAGCCAGAGCCCTGACTTAAACCCAATTGAGCATCTCTGGAGAGACCTAAAAATGGCTGTCCACCAACGTTTACTATCCAACCTGACAGAACTGGAGAGGCTCTGCAAGGAGGAATGGCAGAGGATCTCCAAATCCAGGTGTGAAAAACTTGTTGGGTCTTTCCCAAAAAGACTCATGGCTGTATTAGTTCAAAAGGGTGCTTCTACTAAATACTGAGGAAAGGGTCTGAATACTTAGGACCATGTGATATTTCAGTTTTTCTTTTTTAATAAATCTGCAAAAATGTCAACAATTCTGTGTTTTTCTGTCAATATGGGGTGCTGTGTGTACATTGAGGAAAAAAAATTAACTTAAATGATTTTAGCAAATGGCTGCAATATAACAAAGAGTGAAAAATTTAAGGGGGTCTGAATACTTTCCGTACCCACTGTATATATATATATATATTTATATAATATTTAATGGCCTTTTTTACATATCAGACCGATACCGATATGACTGCTGATATATCGCACACACATGGATGATTTCAACTATCTGAAATTATATTTTACATTTTAATATTTATATTTTACTATTTTATGGCCTGTTTTCCCTATTGGACTGACACCAAAATGACTGCTGATATATTATGTAACCCTATAAATGTAGGATGGAAGTTGAATTCAATCTCCTAGAATAATATTTTATATATTTATTTATATTTTACAATTGTATTTTACTTAACAGGCTGTAGGATTGATTTCATCCATCTGGAATGGTATTTAAAATTTTATACTAATATTTTATAATTTTATGGCTTATTTTACTCTGATATGAGATAATAACATGACTGCTGATATATTGTGCAATCTTAAAAATACAGAAAGGAACTTGATTTCATCCATCAGAAATGTCTTGGATTGATTGGTTAACATTAACAAAAAGCCAAATAGCCAGGAAAATCAAAGACTGTTTTTTTTTCTCTTATCTCTATTAATGAAGCATGCACAATCAAACCAGGAATGTGCATCAAAAAAGTAAATAGGGTCAATTTCATGTTGCCTAAACCTAAAATGTGTGAGAAAAGTGAATACCACAAGAAGATTTCACACAAACCACTGAATGCAGATTTACAAAGGTGTCAGTTTTCCGGTTATATTTGCACAAATCGGCCTTATCACACGTAAGCAGAGCTGTCTGGATCGATGCAGCACACAGTGTGATGATATCTAATCTGAGACTAATTAACTTGGCATCCAAGTACAGCAATGTGCAAGCCCCACACAATACTCAGCGCCTCTGTCTGACAAACAGCGCTGTTAGACGTCTGGCGGGTGATCGATGAGCTGACGTGTACCGGCTGGGATGTTTATTGTGGGTCTTTCGAGAGCTCTTGGGTCTGTCAGCGGGTCTGTCAGCGGGTCTGGCCTGCTGTCAGTGACGGCATGCTGCCTGGCTCAGATAGCTTACACCACACTATCGGGTCACAGCCTAGCACCCTCCCCTTCCCCTCAACAATCTGCCCGCAGAGTAGCTGCGATGGTGGTCCCCCGTCATGGAGAGACAGCAAGCCCACACATGGTGAAGGAGAGCGGGAAATGGGTCAGAGGGACTTAAACACACTCACATACTGGCCAACACATGCAGACAATACATGAAACACTCCAACATTCTGTCACTCACATGCGCATACGCTCCCCTCCCAAAACACCCGCCATCTGCCTCCTCTCCTGGCTGTTAATGGACGTGCCGGGTGGGAGAGGAGCCCGGGCCTCCCGCCGCTTCTCCCCGAGGCCCTACAGCCCAGCTTGGGTGTCTTAACTCTCTCTAGCTCTTTCCAGCTCCCTTTGGAAGCTCCATACAGCCCTTACATCTAAGTTCTTATGCGACCTGCCTCTGAGAGCATTCTATTTGACCGTTTTAATTATGCAAAGCATGTTGGGAAGTGTTAGTGTCCTCCTCACCAGCATCTCCTTTCCAGTGTCCTCAAACATGTGCTCGAGATTCCTCTTAACCGACTCTTCACCGTCTACGAACACCTGAGGTTAAATCAAAACCTTCAGTTGGAACCCACCATAAATGATGGTATTTTAATGCACTTATAGCACATAAAAAATAACTATTGCTAATTGCATGAAAAATAAACAGTGATTTGTTCTATTGAACACATGTATGTAATGTCTAGCAGATGTGAACCTGGTTGATGCTGGGTCTGCCTTTGGTTTTCTTTTTGGAGGTAGTGTCCAGGCCCCATAGAGAGGAGAACCGGCTCTTTCGTTTACTGGAGGAACGAGACAGGGCCTGGGTACGTCTCTGAATTCCCCCATCCGTCCTCGCTGCCACCTGTCCAACACAAACCCGCATACAGAAAGTCAATAAACATCTAAGAGAGTTTCAAGCACATGTGATGATAATTTTAAACCATTTAGCATTTGTCACTATGGAGGAAATCTTTAAAGGAATAGCTCACCAAAAAATTAAAATGGGAAAAGTGCAGCATGAACATTGTTCAAAACATCTCCTTTTGGATTTGTCTGGCTTTGGAGCAACATGAGGTTGAGTAAATTACAATAATTTACATTTTTGAATGAACAGTCCCTTTAAATATTTCACCAATCCCATGATTGTACAATAAACATTAATATTAAACATTTAAGTGACACAAAACATAGATTTATTTAAATAAATAACTCCTAAGGGCCATTCACACTAAGGAACGCTATAAAGTAGTGCTGTCAAACAATTAATTGCATTAAAAATAAATGTTTTTATTTACATAATATATCTGTGTGTACTGTATATTTATTATGCATATATAAATACATACAGTATATATTTTGAAAATATTTACATGTATTTACATTTATATTATATATAAATATATTTAATATATAAACATAACATTTTTCTTAAATATATACATGCAAGGGTGTGTATTTATACATACATAATAAATATACAACATTACACACACATACTATGTAAACAAAAACTTTTATTTTAGATGCGATTAATTGCAATTAATTGTTTGACAGCACTAACATAAAGTTTTAATAATTGTTCTAATTCTATGAGAATATATCCACAACTATAATGATAACAACACAGAAGAACAACATCGTTGGAATCACTCTCAGAATGGTTTTTTTTCATCAATGTTTTTTCATAACTGCAGCTCGCAGTGGTGTGGACGCTAATATAATTATAGTTATTGTTCTTGTTGTGAACAGACCTTTATTCTGCCTAGAGGTTTTAGCTTTCATTGATTACAAATGGCCTCAGTGACACTGTGAGAAAAGATCAGGAAAGAGAGGGGGGAAACATCCCTTTGCCTTTAGGCTTCAAATAAAGATCAGTGATGGGAAAAATTCTGACACCATGACTCATTTCAGAAGCAGTACACATCAACTGCCATGGTGTGAAGATGTTCTGTTCACACACCCCAACATGAAACCACATTCACATTTCTGGGATAATAAACGTTAGTGCCACAGAATTTATAAAGGATATTCTCAGTAATCAGACCACATATAGGAGTTTGCATATACATAAAACCTTAGCAGTTTAGGGGATATCTGCAGTACAAGACAAAACTCTGCGGCTTGTTTTATATTTAAGAAGACAGAAAAAATTAGAAAAGAACATTTATAAAGACATTTAAGGTTTAAAAGGTAGTGGTTAGCGACAATGCTTTTAAAAACACAAACTAAGTGGCAAAATAGCTAAAAGGAAGTTTCACAAAGACAGTTATTGATCAACTGCTTGAGTGCCATTGATGAAAAATGCTCCCTTTTTCATTACTAAAAACGTCATTGATTTTCCGTCAATCTTGGTTTGGTTTTTGGAACTCAATGTGTTACGCAATTAAATGGGAGTTTTATTTCCACGCCTCACTGTGACTCTTCTGAGGTGACAGTTGCGGTCCTCCGGCTGCATATTACGCCATTCTGTACGTTCTCTGCTGAACCACGGGAATGACAAAAACACGAGGGTGACAACATGTTTTGTTATGCAGTTTCTGTTACGACTCGGGGCCAAGAACAGGCTGGCAGGCAGCTCAGAGCTCACCCGGTTCTCGTGGAGTGGATTAAAATGAAGTGGATATTAACTAAACATGCTTGAGAGTGTGAATGAAATGAGTAAGTGTGTGAAACAGAGAGAAGTAGGGAATAATGCAATGATATTGAGTGTTTTGAGAGCGTGGAGGTTTGTATGTATGTGTGTATTTCATACCAGGGCATGGAAGGATGATACTGAAAAAATGCCAAGACGACCCATGGACAGTTTGGTGGGGCGGGAAGCAACAGCAAGTAGGCGTTTTGGATTTGGAAGCTCGCCGCCCTGCAGGCTGGACAGGTAACAGCGATACCGGAACAAGTCCATATGAAACTGCTCCAAATTCTGCTCCCAGAGGAATATCTGAACAAAAAGAAAGATTTAAAATCTTCTGCTTTGTCAGTATTTCAACATGCTCTGCATTTATTGTTTTCTGTGTTCGCACATTGATGAGGGCCCCTATGTTGCTGACTATCAGAGTGTGGGCAGTGTTTTTAATACAGTTTTGCTTACTGGAGGAGGACGCTGTGATAAATCATTAGTCAGCATGCCTCCTTCAAGCCAGCATGACCTGAGTCTATTCAGAGACCATGGAGGAGTAAGCCCACCTCCGCACAAACAGACGAGTACATCACATACACAATAAGTGAACAGACACATATTTACACTCGGATTTTATGTAATATCAATCAAATCACATGTCTGTTAGAGATTAAACAGACACATCAAAAATATACAGTAGCATCAGACATGTCAGAAACCCCAAATCTGTGAGTCAATTAACTGTATAATTGACGTGTCCTAGTAAACAAACAAAAAAATTATTGAATGACAATTTCATCAGTGTTTATAGGTGAAGTTTAATAAGTTAAAAGTCCTAAGGCGAAGCTTGCTTTATTTATTTTTTTTATTAATTGGCTTAACCAATGGCATGATTTTGCGTGGAAATATCTGTTTGTCCAACCAGCGGCAAACAAGTCTCACCAGTACTGTCACGAATTTGGTCCATGGACTTCCGTTTATTCACCACCAGAGGTCACCCTTTCCTTTACATTGACTCTCGCACAACTCAAACTGTTGCATAACACCCCGGACTACATATCCCATCATTCCTTGCACGATTTGCACACTGCACTGATTTGCACTCATTGCACACAGCTGTTTCTAATCACCTCACTCACTATATAACACCCACTCTAACCACCTTTCTCTGCTGAGTATTGTCTAGCCTGTACCCCTTTCCGAGTCTCTGTGTTTTCCTTGTTTTGCCTTGCCTGTTTTTGCGGTTTCTGATCTTTGCCTGTTTTCCTTGATTTCTCCCTCTCGTCTCGCCCCTGTGATTCTGTCTGCTGATCGGTGACCTACGCTAGCCCTAGGACTATTCTTGTGTTTTTGCCCGCCATATACCTGTTTGCCATTGTTCGACCCTGCCTGTTATACCACGTCTCTTGAATAAAAGCTTGCAGATGGATCCACACGTCTCACATCTCGTCAGCCCCGTTACAAGCACCTAAACATAATTCTAGACGCCACTGACTCTCCAGTAATGAGTACAAGTTAAAATCATCAGAAAATCAGAAATGCATATGCAGCATGTTCTTACCTGCTCTAGGATAGTCTTCCTCTTCTTCCCATCAGTGACAGCAGAGAGCTGCATTTCGCCCATCTTCTTCATTTTCTCATCCATGTCGATCTTTTGTTCAAGCTTCTTGATCTCAGAGCGCAGCAATCGTACGGTGTCCTCGCGGTGGTGCTGACGGGCGACAGCTGTGGCGCAGGCTGAGTGGATGGCGGTTATCCAGTTTTCCAGCTCTGTTTGACCTGATGTCTAAGAAGAAGTGAAACAGAACATTACTTCTTATCACTATAGAATGCCCAATGGCAGTTTGCCCACAATGAGCAAAACCTGAAGGCACAGTATCTAAAAATTGTCACTCCATACATTATATATATATATATATACTCATGTATAAGGTTAAACATCACTATTAATATAATATAATTTAATCGACATAGCAACACATAGATTCTTTCAGCACTGAAAAAAAAAATACTATTAACCAAATGACAATCACGTAGATTTGACTGTCGGGCCTGACGTGTTAACCTTTAAGAATGTCACCTGGTAAGCAGGATGTTGTTAGTTGTCACAGAATACAATGTCACTGAGACACACAGAAATTCAGAAACACTGTTCAGCAGTTTTGAATGATACAGTGGACCATGAGCATTGGTGTGGGACAATTCTATATCAACTGTTTTCAGGTTGTCATAAATGTATGGACAAAAACATCACCAATGTCTTCAAATGCTACCCTGAAGAATTCAAGTTCATAGGAGTAACTGGAATCACTTTAATATTAATCTTTCGAGATTCAGACTGTCTTACCTGGAAGAGGAAGGCATCTCCCAGTGCATTGCTCAGACAAAACACAAAGTCTTTCTTGGGATGTTCTGGGACAGCCTGAACAATGCTGTTCTCCACCCAGACTGCATGTTTGTGGATGCTGTTGTGGTCGATCCCTGAACGTCCATCTGTTTCGTAAAAAAACAGAGTGCATCCTGGGAGGATAAAGTGAAAAGGAAGATCAGAAAATATGGAACTGTAAATGTAAAACAAGTTTCAGGACTTGATTAATCTACACCAATAAATATATAAAAGTTTGATGACAAATTTTTGATAACCTGTAATGTCTCAGATGCTATTTTGTGTTCTTTTTACATGAACAATTGCTGCAAGAAATGGCCCAGAGCATGAAATTAGATTGTGATTGAATAGTCATGGTAAGATTACAAACATCAAACCATCTGAATCAAAAGCTCAGAATTTATTTGATAATAAATTTATTTGATAATAAATTTAATAGGGTTTGGTGTGATCAGCCTGATGTGAAATAGCAGGTGCATGACATTTTGTAACTGGTGCGGGGTCAAGGATTTGCAAAATGTAAAATCTATCGCATTGTGGGACGGAATACCCAGTGAAGTGTGCTTTGCTGTTTACTGCCCATTTGATCAAATGTAAGAGGCCATCCAGGCAGACGATGCACATTATTATATCCACCTTTTTTCTGAGTAACAGACAAGACTTTATAGATGGAGCAGAAATAGTAAGAGTAGCAATATGCCATTCCAAACATCGCTTCAGTCTCACCTTTGAGTGATACCCAGTACTGTTTCCATTTCCTTTTTGCTGCTGGCTCCACCCTCTTATTCTTTTTGTGCCCCAGGAAGTTCTTCACAGCCAGCAGGCCGGCCTTCCGCACAGTGCCCTGCACCGTGCTAAGTAGAATGTCTGAGGGGTAAATGGAGCTTAGCGTTCCACTGCTCCTCTCATCGCTAGCAGCTGAACCTGCCTCTTCGAGGCAATCCCACATCTGTCGGGAGTTCAAGTCCAGCTCCTGACGGAAGTTCTCGTATACGCCTTGATCTCCACCCGGTTGACGTTCACGGTCTCCTCCACCTCCGCTGCTACTGCCGCTGTCGCTTCCCGCGAAGATGCTTCCGCTAGCAGTAGAGTAGACGGAGAAGGACGCAGACATGGCCTTGCAACGGCGTGAGGAATGCTCGACTTCAGCTGCGCCACCGTCAATACCGCTGTCTCCATACTCGCTGCCCTCACCGGCCGTGATATCCTTCATGCAAACAAAATAGGTTACTGGAGATAAAATGTCACTCCCTCTACAGTTACAGCTACATCCTCCAAACAAGAATTCCTTTTCAGAATTTCACCCTAAACAATAGTTTGACATTTCATAAAAATGTAATGGAAACTAACTTCCATTGAGCTGCTAAATGGCTCTTTTCCTTTCCGCTTTTGACAGATACAAAGAAAAAGACTAATCTGTACTTGTTCTCAACTTGTTTACCTGTGCATGAAAGAGGAACAGAAAGAGGACGTCAAGAAAGTGCAGCTTCTCTTTACCAACACAGAAACACTAAAGTTCCTCGCAGGTAGATCATGCAAAATATCATGTTTCAAAAAACACTGAGCAGGTGTCCAAAGTAGCTGTCAAAGGCATGAACATGACTCAGGGAACATTAGAATTGTCCCCTGAGACCTTTCAAAGTCGGAAGCACTTTGACAACCACAGACAGTTCAGATCACATCAATAATCCACAATCACGAAAGTTAAAAGCTATCTGAATTTGGTTTTAAAGACCCTAGAGGGTTTTATCTTTCACATTTTATTAGAGCTAAAAGTAGAGGAGATTTTAAATTAAAAGAGTTTCCTTAGAGAATCCCATAAGGTTATTGCTGTTTATCAATTTCTTGGGTCAACTACTTTAAACTACCAACTAGGTTCTATGATAAATGGACGACAATAGAGAAGTTGAGAAGCTCGGAAGTAGGCAAAGTGGTCAAAAACATGGAAAAACCATGAGTCAGAGGCATAACTCACATGTGTTGTTCGTGCCCTCCGTCCCTGCATACGTGAGCAGATGGTAGTCTGGTGATTGGACAGTCCTTCCGACAGGCAGTGAGAACGACGACAAGGAAGAGTGTATGCTCCATATCCGTTCCCTTCCTCCTCCGCAGGAGACAAGATCTCACCGTTCATTACACCCCCCTCCGTCCTCTCAGGATTGTGACCATTATAGAGATGGTGGGAGCCACGAAGAGGAGGTAGTCTCTGTGTGCAAAGTTCGTCTAAAGAGTTGGCTCTCTCTCCTGAGTGAGTCTCGAGTGTCCGTGGGCTGGAGGTGCGACGACGTCCTCCACAGTTGGTGAAGCTTTTGTCTTTGTCCTCATTTGTCCCTATAATCTCCTCTGTACTTGTCAATTGCTCTTGGCTTAGATCCGACAAGGAAAACTCCATGGAATCCTCTCTCCACATGTCAGCAGATTTGGAGCGCTTCTTCTTAAAGCTGCCACCTTCCCGAGGACCGTCTCTGGTCCTCTGAAGATACGTGTCCTCACCTGTGAAAAGTCCTTCATAATCACAATTGTCTGCCACCATTGTGTCCAACTCCACTCCATCTTCAGAGCCTGGCGTGGTGGTGGGATCCCCCATGTTGTCGTGGAAGGACATCGGCCGCAAGTTCATGGCCATCCGGTCCACCCAAATTGTGCCTCCATAGCCCTCCAAAGCATTCTTCTCAGTGAAGGGTTCCAGGCCATTTTCACTCAGGGATTGTGGGATGGAAGGGGTGCTGCTGGATTTTGTGCTGGTCTCAGAGTTGTGGTGTTCAGCCTTGCTAGATGAGGCATGACGTGATCGTCGAGACTGCTTGTTAGAGATGCGAAGTGATCGGGCCATGTGCTTTCGTGAGAGGTGGCCCTGCCCCTCACCGTAGTAGGCGTGGTCTCCATTTTGGCTCTCTATGTTTCCCATTGTTTAACGTCTGTGGAAGACACAACATGGGTTAGATATAGGACATGTCACAGCCTATAAAGATGAAGACCTACCAATCACTAGCAAGATGTCTGTACATGCCTGTGTGACTTTTAAAAGATAGATTTGCAAGTTTTCGGGGCTCTCAAACCTGACAGACCAGCAAACACCACATTATTCCAGAGATGCTTTTTACTTTAGAGACAATAAAAGACTCATTGCAGCTCCAAAGCAACATACCTGCATAAGTCCATATAAAGGGGTAAATGTTTTTACAGTACAGAAAGACAAAGCAACAGAATAAAAGATGATCTACCTACAGAAGAGAAATTCAGTCTCACCATCTCTAAAAGTGAGAGCTGAATAGCATGTGACCAGAGCCTAATGCCAGAAATATCTCTGACGCACACAAAGACACAAAGCGAGAGAGTGAGCGAAGGAGTGAGATGTGAAACCTCTCAACCCCCTGTGGTGGGAACATCAGAGGTTTTTTTCAGTGACCTCCATTAGAGAGTTCACCATTTGTGTATCTCAGCTATAACCTCTTGAAATTGTTGGAACGGTTCAATTAGGGCAAAATTCAGGCAAATTAGTCCTGAGAAAGAAACAGGAAATCATTATAGAAATCCACTGTGTACAGTTTATAGAATTATTTTTATGAAATCACTTTGGCATGAAAAACAAAATAGTCATGAGAGATATTTGCTCTGTTCCAAAACGTATAAAAGCAGCATTTTAAGGCATCGTAGGCACACTCCCGACATGAAGGCTGTCCCAGAAGGTAAGTTAATCATCCTGCTTCGTAATTGCTCATAACACCTAGTTTGCACAAGCAATAACAGCCAATCCCATGATGTTCTCATTCTAATTCCCATTGTAATGAGCTTGGGGAAAACTGAATTCCAGATTCTAGGCTAGGTGAGAGAAATACTGATTATAAATAACCTTAAATGCTTGATTCAATTATGTTTTATCCAAATTATGTTACTGAAAGTAGTATTGTCCAATATTTATGAGTGCTTTTTAGAATATCATATTGTTAACTTAGCAACATGCTAATGAACTCAATTGCTGCAGTTGGCAGCGAGGTAGCTCACTAGGTTTTGAGTAGCCTCAAAACCATGATTCTATTGTGTCAGTACATGACATAATTTATACAAGATCGGCAGTAGTACCTGAGGCAGAACCAGTGGATCAGATGCATTTCCAGACAGCCATGTTCCTATTTACTGACCTCATGGTCTTGATCACCCCTAAGGCAGTTTTCCCTGGAAAAGAAACATAACACACATTTTAAACACAGGAACATGAAAGATTAAGTCTAGACACAAGGATAGTTTGGATAGCGGTTCATAAATAAGGTTTTGGGTTTCTAAGTATGCAAAGGGTGGATTACAAGACACATATGAGAACATGACAGCTCACCTGTTCCAAGGTGCGGTTACAAAAACATGCACACTTATACAACAATACTTCTCACACCCTCCCTGCTGAACAAGAGGAAGAATTTTCTGAGATTAGTCTCAGTTCCTTAAGAAGCCAACAATACAGTAATTATGGCTACCCAGCAGAATTCTTAAAGCTGAACCCAGTTATATGTTCTTCAATGCCAATCTGACCTAATTTCTTCTAATCCAGAGAGGAGAGCAGAGAGAAAGCCTCATCTCCATACTGCAGCAGGTATACATATGAGAAGATGGTTCAGACTACACACTCGAAGCACACTTTACGGATTAGCCTCAGAATGACACTGTTCCACTAAGCAGGAGATAGAGATAGAAATAGAGGAAAAGAATAATGAAAAAGAAGAGAAAGAATTCCCAGTCATTACAACACACTGGATCCATTTAAACTTGTATAGAAGGACATATTCAAGCCATATCTAGAAACGTGAGGTGGGCTCTTTTGACTAGGACCACATTGGCGACACTCTAGCATTGTGCCGACAACGTTTACATGCATAAAAACCACACAAACTTAGTTTTTACTCACTGGCAGAGGGTTTGTGATTCAAACCGTGTGTGTAACAGAAGCATGTGTGCATGTGTTTGTTGGGGTCAGTTTGTATGTCTCTGGATCACATCCAGCTTCAGCAGTAAGGGTCAACAAGACCTTAAGGCCAATAAAGTGAGAGATGGAGACCCATCTGACGATCTCTATCCTCAGATGACAGCTGGCTGTTGTGTGTATGTTTGTTGGTGTACATGAGAGTAGCGGTACAAAAACTCAGTACTGCACTGCAGTCTACTTAACCTTGCTGTAGAGTTACATAAACTAGAGTTGACACCATTTTTCGATGTAGTTCACTTGTTTTCGCAGCTATGGCCTATATGCTCTTCCTCCTGATCCATGCCCCCTCCTTCATGCTACTACCATTAGATTTGTCCTCCACATGACATTTAAGCTTTTATATCAGTGATTCAAGTGAGATGTGAAACTTTGCAGTGGAAAAAAACATCTTCAGTAGTGAAGGAAAGTTAATGGGTTTTGCAATAGTTTTGAGTTCCCATTTCCTGCTATTCTTAGAGTTGCATGTATTTCGTAAATCTGCTATCCTGTCAGCCTTATTTAAAATATCTATATTACAAAAAATGCTTTATTGCACAATTTCTGCTTTGTTATAAACTGTTTAATGTTCCCTTTTTCGTAGCATGACAGTATACAGTCTTTTAACCACATTTAAGCTAAAGAAGACCAATTTGACATCTTTTTTGGTCACGTTTTATTAAATGTAAGCACATGGTGCAATCAAATCGTTATGGGAAGTTTGTATTTATGAGTTCAGAAGCTGTGATTATGAGGTCAGGAGTGTTTAAATCACTTTGGCCAGAGCAAGATGGTGATGTACAGCAAGGTTTTTTTGTTAAACTACTTAAATAGAATGATAAATAAATTGTGTGAATTAGGCATGTTTTTGCTTTTTTGATGTTTTTATTAGGGCTGCATAACGATTAATCACATTCAAATAAAAGTTTATGCTTACATACTACTATATGTGTGTGTACTGTGTATATTTATTATGTATATATAAATACACACATTTAAAAAAAATATTTGTATGTATACTGTATATTTATACTTGTATATCATTTATATTATATATAAATATAAATATTTTATATATAAATCTAGCATAGTTTTCCTTAATATACACAAGTATGTGTGTGTGTATTTATATATACATAATAAATATACACAGTACACACACACATATAGTATGTAAACAAACTTTTATTTTTAATGCAATTAATCACGATTAATCGTTTTGCAGCACCAGTTTTTATTCCATTTATGAAGTTGCTGTAAACAGAACTGTTATGTATTCTGTCGTTATTTGTACATCTAACTTAGCTAGTTTTAGATGCTGCATCTATTGCGTCTGCTATATTTTCTCACTAAAAAGCCCCCAATTTGGAAACTTGGACTCAAAGAAAATTTGTAATTATGACATTGTGGTAGCGTTCATGTGCCACCAACTTGTAAATACAACCTTTCATGCATTTTTTGTTGATTTCAATCATTCTGGAAAATCAAAGCTGTATTTAAATGGAAATAGCTGCTCATTATGGCCGCCAAATTGCCTTTCCACTGTCTGTTTTCCCTTTTTAATGTGGACTGTGATGGTATATAAGCATTTGTGCGCTAATCAAACACAGATCTATTACCATATGATCTGATTGCATTAAATATCAAATCTTCGGCTTCGAAAACATACTCCAGATGGAATATCTCAGCGGGGATCTACAGTTAAAATGTCAGTGCAGTCATAACCAAAAGGTTAGTGAAAATCGATGAGAGAAACCGTGATCCCGATGAGCAGAGCGGCAAACGTGAGTCAGCAAATGAACCGAGTGACCAGCTGCCCACTCTCTCTCCCTCCCTCCTACTCCTCACCTACGTGATGCTGGGATTCAGCGGTAATAATGTGTGATAAATCTCAGCGTGACGACAATAGACCCTATGCTAGCACAAATACAATGTGATGATTACTACGTAAAACTCACAAACGTGAGAAAAGATGCTTGTATGTATTGTTGTTGTTTGTGAATGCGCTAGATGTTTTGTTGTCTCGGAGCCGGACGTCTCCTGCAGGGTGAAGGCAGGTGGAGAGGATGGAGGAAGGGTGTGTGGTGGTGGAATGGCCTGCTGGGTTTTGCAGTGTCTCACTGTGAAACTTTAATCACAAGCACTTAGGAGGACACCTCCTCCACTTCACTTCCCTCACTGTGAAGGATGTGCTAGCCTGAGCTGTGTTATTAAAGCACATGCACACACACACACACACACACACACCGTGAGGAGGGTGTGCATTGTAATGGAATAATGAAACGGACTGACTCTACCGAACGTCCCGCTCCCTCCCTCAGATACTCTTTTGTTTGAGGAGAAAGAGAGGCTGTAGAATAGATCACCAGCACGAGTCGACTGTTAAAAAAGCAGGTTATCACAGCTTTACTTTCTTTAGGTAGTCTTTAGCTTTCTCCAGCTACTTCACACAGCTAATACAGACCTACAGGTGACACAAAACAATCCCAACCTTTATGAGAAATATGGCAGCTAATAAAACAGTTTATAGTAGCGCACAGTAAGCTTCCTCTAGCTCTCAAAACTGAGTGAACAGATGGTAGGAAGGTATAAGTGGGTGTGAAACCAATAACACTCTTTGAAACAAAATTCAAAAGTGGAGCAACGAGTCACAAAATATACAATTACTGAAGTATAATCATCTGAAATGTCTCCATTTATCACATTATAAATTATTAAAGCACAGACAGGCCAGCTTGAGAACAACTACGGCAAAATTGCAGCCTCAAATAAACTCTGACAAGTCAGCAAACTTAATTCAGTCAGATATTATAATATAAATATAAAAAAGCACTGGGAGGCTCTTATTAGACATTTCTGATGGAAGAGAAGATGCTCACTAGACAAAGAAAAGCAATGACTGCTGTAAATGAGGGGGAAGCAAACTCAAATGCATTATTCTTGTTCCTTAAACATGCTCCCATTAGTCCAAATCAGTCTTTTTGTTTCTGCTGCTTGTCTTTAAGGCCTGGGGCAAAGAGCAAGGTTTAAAATCTCCCCAAAGCCCAGCACTGCTGCACTGAGTTGAGGAAGACTACGGGGCTTTTAACTGCACACCCAGACAGACAGAAGGAGAGCGAGTTAGCACAGAAGAGACTGGATTAGAAATACTCCATTGTTCCCCCAGATGGAATCTGTCATTTTGCATGTGCACAATCTACTCTTGTTAGTATAATTGAGGGAGCGCAGACAAAGACACAAGAATAATCACTGCCCACACTGTCTTTGTCTGTCGCTGCTGACTGATTACCCCACAGATACTAGTGCTGGCCCATATAGTATCATATGTTTACAATATATTCTATTTCATTTTGATTCGATGATATAAAATGAACCGATTTTGTGAATATTGTAACAATTATAATATGCTATAATATACTACATGTTATTTGGCCATTTGTTTTCTAAGGACCATCTAAGTAGCAACCAAAGTAGCAAATATTCCAATATTTTTGTGAAAGTTTGATTCATTTCTGCAAATCAGTTCTTTCGAATCTTTTTTTTTTTTAATGATTTGAGTTATGTGTTGTTATATTGATGCATATGGTATAAGTATGGGGTCAATAAGGTTTATTTAATACATTTATTCAGCAAGGACGCATTACATTGATCTAAAGTGACAGTAAAGATATTTATATTATTACAAGAGATTTATTTTTCAAATAAATGCTGTTGTTTTTTTAAGTTTATATTCATCAAAGAGTTTTGAAAGAATATATATAATTGTTTCCACAAAAATATTAAGCAGCACAACTGTTTTCAACATTGATAATAATAAGAAATGTTTCTTGATCATTAAATCAGCATATTAGAATGATTTCTGAAGGACCACGTGACACTGAAGACTGGAGTAATCACATAAAAAATGTAAATAATTACTTTTATTTATTATTTATTACTTTTTTATTTACATTATTTATGGTGTATTTGATCAAATAATTTCAGCCTTGTTGAGCAGAAGAAACTTCTTTCAAAAACATTAAAACATTTTACTGACCCTATCTTATATACTCACCCAACTCTAATTGACAGCTATACCAACAGCATGTGATTATGAGAAAATCATAACCAGTTGTTTGATATTTGAATTCTACAGAAATCTGCAGAGGTTTCTGATGAATATTGTGGTCACAGTTTCTGTGTAAATGTTGTTATGGAATCGTGAGTAGAATCAATACCAAAA